TAATCCAAAGTATACTCTTAGGAAAACTTTTAAACATTTATTATTTTTATACTATTCTGACCAAAAGAAAAAATGGAAGTTTAGAAAAGGTAAAAATGGACATTAAAAATGTTTATTTCTAGCCCTGAAAGAACAAAATTAAATGAAGTCTCAAATACAGCAGTTAATGTCAAAGTAACAATTAAATATTGAATGGGATTAAATTAAAATAGAAGGTCATATAATATTTGAAGACAAAACAGAAAAGACAGCTACTTTCATTGAATTCCATTTCTACCTACAAAACAAGGGGGGGAAAAGCCAACACATTCCAACCAACAATGTTGAATTTAAAATGTAATTCTTTTTCTTATGAAAGTTTGTCAGGATTACCAGACATTTCTTTCTGCCTCTTGTCTTAGCAATGTTTTAAAATGGTGAATGATACAGACTTCAGTTCTTTCAAGGCCAGGCCACTGCTTGATTCTTCTTTCTAACACAAATACCTAACACAGCATTTTTGCCAATTTTCAATAAATGTGTTGAGTGAGAAAAATAGTGGGCATTTTGTACTCATGCTACGGAAAAGCTGATTTTAGCTGTTTAAGTATCCATTGACAGCATGGAGACAAGGAAGACAATCTTTTTATATTACTATGAAATCCCATTATAAAAGCCAAAAATAAGTATTCATCTGAATTTTAGATAGTCTATGACATTTGGAAATTTCACTGGATAGGCATCTCAGTATATTTAATAAGTTTTAGATTCAAAAAATTGATGTAAATTCCTTAAGCCTCTTTTTTTTCCACCTAACTATAGCTACTGCCTAATCACATCTAAAGTTATTCTGGCTAGAATACAGAATATAAAAACAAACATGTATTTGAGTGAGCCCTACAGAGAAATACTCATAGGTAGTTTAAACTCGTTTGTTAAAGGCACAGTTTGTTTAGGACTGGTGGTTACTAGATAAAACTGAAGCAGTTCAATATTTATGTTGAAGGGCAGAAAATTCCTGCTGTGTGCCAGACACTTAACAAAGACCACTGTGCTAGCCCTGGTGTCTTTACTTAACAGAGTCAATGTTCATTATTTCTAGGTAGGGGAAAAAAAAATCAATATTTTTATAGTTTCCCAGTTCAATTATCCCTAAAAGCAGCAAAAGGAACGAGAGAAGGTAACTTTAGGACCAGAAAGTCTACAATGTAATAAATAAGTACTACAGTAATATTGTCCCAATAACACAAAAGGACTCCTACTGTACTTTTAGATTTAAATAGGAATTCTCATTTTAAAGTGATGACAAAAAGGGTAAATACAAAAGATAATGATTAAAAAACATGAATCTTGATTCAGATATAATTGTTCTTTCACAAGATCTAAAAATTTTAATTTAACTAATAAATCATAATTTTGTATTGCTTTTTAAGATGATTTTGTTTCAAATGACACATTTCAGAATTAACCAAAATATATTTCTATTACAGGTTAGTTTACCCAGGTAAGTAAAAATAAAGAATAAACCACAGTGCAGCTCCCTTAACCTAGGAGGCAGGTTTTAATGACAAAGTCCGTTGCCAGCAATGGACATGCAGGTAACCATCAAAGAATTTGTATACAAATCCCAAATTGCTTCTATCAACGGAAAAGCCCTTTGTTGAGTCACAGCATAAAATGGGGGTGCTGGCACATATCCCATGTGTGAGGATGGAAGTGCCTTCTTGAGTGGTCATGATGAGCAGTCTTATTCAGTCAGGTTCATTTTCTATTCATTAGTAGCATCTTCTTTATCATAATCCATCCAACTGTTTACAAAGAAGGTTCAAATTTGGAACTCAAGATGCACTGTAGCTTTCCTCAAAAAATAAACCAGCTTCTTTCTGTAATTTAGTGACAGCTATAGAAGACCAAATACAGTCCAGAGAAAAATGAAATCAAGAATCATACTGAAAACAGAGGCCATTAAGTGCTCTAGATGAGTTTCATTAATTATTTTACTCATTTTTCTGAAAACCTTCCTGTACTATCGATAAAAAAGCCATTTCTCTTTATACCTGAATTTAACAGATATGGTGGAAATAAAAACGAAACCCTGCTAATTTTCCCAATATATTCCAAAACATCAAAATTACTTTTATTCATGATTTGTATTATTGCAGGATATCAAACAGGTGTGAAGAGTTCATTGGGAGAAGATGGTGGGAACAAAATGCCAGAACCAACCACAGATTTTTCTCTGTATGTGGTTCCAGGCATGTCAGGATGGCCAATACCTCCTCCAAAAGCAAAACAGCAACAATAATAACAACAATGAAAAGGAGAAGAAAAGAAAAGAAGGGGAGGGGAAGGACGGGGAACTCTAATATAATGCTAAAGGTCACAGACCTTTTATTAAATCTTTTTAAAAAAGCATTACTATCATCAAGTACAATTTTTCTTCCTTTCTCCACTTTTTTACACGAATAGTTTCTACTTATTTGAAAAACAAAAACTAAAGTAACTCAACATCTCAAGTGTTCCATATTAACAACTACTTTGTTATTTAAGTTCTCATAGATAATAAAACATTACTAATGGGTTGGGAGAACAGTAACTTAATGACAAATCTTTATAGTTTACTGTTTGTTCATAAGTCTCATCTCTATATTATTGATATTTCTCTTTCATGATTTAAATTATTTTAGAACTCACTAAGGTTCAAGACTTTCACTTTTGTTTTTTGCCCGCCCAAATTAAGAGGGAAAAAAAAGTTAACTTTTCAATTCTGAAAATTCGATGGTTATTATATTATTTGTTCCAGGGGTTGGGGGAGGGGTAAGTGTATGGGGAGAGGTTAATTAAAAACAAAATAAAACAACCCCCCCAAACCCAAAATTGCAACATATACAGAAACTTATTTCCAAAATGAAGGGGAGAGAAGAGGGAAAAGAAAGGGGAAGGCAGTGGCACCAACCAGAGTCACGAGGCCCAAGTTGGAACAAGCACAAATCACTGTGGTTCCTAAAGCCAAGTCTTAAGAGGAAACAGGCAGAAAGGAAGACAAAACCTTAAGGAGGTAAAGTTGATGGGATTCCTTTTCTGTTTCAATGATTTTAGTTATAAATATAGATTATTAGTTTTCTTTCTATACATGTAACAAATGCCAAACTCACTACCATGAAATTTCTAAAACTGACTCTTTCACATTTGTTAAAAAAGGTAAAAATCACATACTTTTCTTCCTTGCTTCCTTCAGTTCAAGTTCTGAACTGAAATATTACATGTAACAGTAGCTGGTCGTAACTTCTACAAAAAGTTAAGCCATATCAGCCTCCTTTGCCAATATAAAGAGCTACATTTCTATCATACTTGCCTTCAATTTAGGCCTGAGAAGAATTTCTCAAAGCAACTCAGAAGGAGCAAGTCAAAAAAAGGAAAGGAAAAGTTATGAAGGAGAGAAATGAAGACCAGCAGATAAAACACTCTGAAAAACTCAAATCTGCCATTCAAGTATTGAAAATATCCCAGAGGAGACAACGAATGGGATCTATTATACCAAAGTCAGCAAAATAAAATGCAAATCTCAAGCATGATAAATGGCCTCGGTAGGCTGTCTGCTGAAAGATGTAAGGCTAGTGATTCAGTCCATTATTCTTTTTTGACCCTAAAGGAGGGATTCACTTGAAAGTCACAGTTCTCTTTTTGTAATTTTTTTCTTAGTTGTCTTCAGGGAATAGTAGTTTGTTTTTTCCTTCCATGTTATGCAGACCATCTCTTTAAACACACAAAAGAGAAATAACTTTCATATATTAAAAAATTTCTTTTTAGAAAATGGAAAAAAGAATATGAAGCCCCATCAATGATGTTAACGGTTACTCTTCATTGCTTCTTTAGCTGCCATGATCAATGGTGTCAAGCTAGATAATGGTTTGGCCAGTTTCAGGAAGGGGTGCTGCCAGAAAGAGGGGAGAAAGAAGTGCATAAATGTTATCAATTTAGAAACAAAATATTTTCCTTCAACTAAGCCCTGAAGAGTACTTATGAATGCAATTTACTTAACACATATTTTATTACCTGCCCAAACCCCTCATAATCAGTATGTAACTTTCTTAGTTGAAAATAGAGTTGTTTTTCTAATTTCCAAAAATCTACAGTTAAAGAGCCCATAAATACAATCATGCCAGCATTGAATGGGCAAGATATTTGGTAATATACAAAAAATTACTATCATGATACTAAACTTTTATTCCTGGCATACAAAAACCCTAAAATGTAGCAGCTGCCTTACTAGCAGTGACCAATGAATAGTGAAATGCTATTAACACTATGAAAATTTTCTGTTGATTATTCAAAAAGAGTCAACATTTTCCCAAAAGGGTATAATTTCCAAATTTACCTGTAACAGTTCTTTGGCTGAACCCCTTTTCTCGACATCCATTTCCAAACATCGATTTAAGAAATCTCGAAATATTGGGGAAAGTTTCTCTGGATTCTGAAGTTCTGGAGTTCCATTAGTTGCTATCAGGTATAAGGCCTAAAAATAAAACAACATCTATGACATTCTACTTAGTTGGTAACTGAGGAGTATACCCAGGGTTGCTTTACCCATGGGCTATATCCCTAAACCTTCTTTTTTTATTTTTTTGTTTTATTTTGTTTTTTGGTACCAGGGATTGAATCCAGGGGCACTTAACCACTGAGCCATATCCCCAAGCCCTTTTTATTTTTTTATTTTGAGAGAGGGTGTCTCACTAAATTGTTAAGCTGGCCTCAAACTTGTGATCCTTTTTTTTTTAGTTTTATTGATTTTATTTTTTTAAATGCACGACAGCAAAATGCATTACAATTCTTATTACACATATAGAGTACAATTTTTTCATATCTTTGTATATAGAGTATGTTCACACCAATTCATGCCTTTATACATGTACTTTTTTTTGCATTACAATTCTTATTACACATATATACCATGATTTTTCATATCTCTGTTTATAGATAAAGTATATTCGAATATTCATACATGTACTTTGGATACTGATGTCCATCACATTCCACCTGTGATCCTCCTCCTCCAGCCTCCTCGGTCACTGGGATTACAGGTGTGCAATCATTGGATACAGTATTTGCAACATTCTGAAGAAGGCTCAACAAAATTATAGTGTACTATAATTGGAACTGTGTGTGTTTGTGTGTGTGTGTGTGTGTGTGTGTGTGTTAGTACATCAAACCCAGGAACTGTGCATGCTGGGCAAGCACTTTACCACTGAACAACATCTCCTGCTCCTCTTTTTTTTTTTTTTTTGTTTTCTTTTCAGTTGTTGATTTATTTTATTTATTTGTTTATATGTGGTGCTGAGAATTGAACCCATTGCCTCACACATGCTAGGCAAGTCCTCTACCACTAAGCCACAACTGCAGCCCTCCAGCTCCTCTTAATTCTTCAAAGACAATCACCATAAATACTAATATGAGGTTATCATTATCTCCACCTGTTTGGATTTTGCATCCTCCCTCTTTCTCTTCCTTTTGTTTTTACTGGTGTAGGAATTGAACGCAGGCATATGCTGGACAAGTAAGTGCTCTACCACTGAACTATACCCAGCCCTCTTTTTATTTTATTTTGAGATAGGGTATCTCTAAGTTGCCCAAGCAGGCCTCAAACTTGGAATCCTCCTGCCTCAGCCTCTCCAGAAGCTGAGATTACAGGTGTGTGCCACCAGGCCTGGCAGCTTCAACATTTCTGTGTCAAACTATAAATTGCTTAAAAAACAAAAAAACAAAAAAACCCAACAACAACAAAACTGACGAACACTTTCAGCCCACACACTATACTTGGACAGCATCTAGCCTTTTTAGACTGAATTTCTTTGCTAAACAATATGCACTTAAAGATCTTTCAGTTTAATATATCCATGCCACAGGCATATAATAAATTTTCCACGTTCTTTCCCTATAATAAATAAATAGATAAGATAAAATTCTCATGTCTGTTTGTGGTCTGATTTTTTTTTTAATCAATGAATAACATTCTATTGTATGGATGTAATACATTTATATCTGATTTTCTTTTATTTATTTTGTAGTGCTGAGGATGGAACCTAGGACATGCTAGGCATATGCTCTACCACAGAGATACGCACAGATATTCACTTTTTGAAAGACATCAGAGTTCCAGATTTGGCAATTATGAATAAAGATGCTATAAACATTTGTGTATACGTTTTTATGTGGACATGTTCCAGTGCATTTGGACAAATACCTAGGAATACATTGCTGGGTTATATGGTAAGATCATGTTCAGTTTTGCAGGAAAATGAAAAATTGTCTTCTGGAGTGGAGCATCCCACTAGCAATGAATGAGTGTTCCTGTGGCTCCACATCCTCACTCAATATTTGGTATTGTCAGATTTTTTGGACTTGAGCATTCTAACAGGTGTGGTATCTCATTGTTATTTTAATTTACCAATTCCCTACCTACCCACAAGTTTAGCTCTTTCCATATGCTTATTTGCCGCCTGTGTATCTTATTTTGCTCTCCCCCACCCTCACTATTTTTTTTAGTTCTTGGAAACTGAGGCCCTCACATATGTTAGGCAGAAGCTCTACCACTGAGCCACAATGTCGGTCCTAAAAATCTTCTAAAGGAAGTCCAATTTATTTCTTTCATGGATGATCCTTTTAGTGTTGTACCTGCCAAACCGAAGGTGAACCTAGATTTTCTCCTGAATTAATTTTACTCTAAAACGTCATGCCTTGGATAGCAATTAATTTCAGGTTAAGATCAAAAACTGTTGGAAGCCTCCAAACCTCCATCAGAATGGATAGACAGAAGCCCACAAAACACTCAAGCTAAATATTACCACCCCCCACCAGTACCAGTCCCCCACCCCTGCTCACAATCTTCTCACCATTTGAGATCAATCTCACTATATGCTTTACCTTCATTATGTTAATGATCATAAGCAGCCCAGGACTCCCAGTCGTCTCCCCAGTTTCTCCACTCTAATGCCCATGTGGCTTGGAATATTCTCCTTACTTTCACCAGCAGTGCTTTCTAGGGGCGACTTTTTTTCCTCACAACTCTAGGTCTAGAGTCGTTGCTCTTTGAAATCTTCATCATTCTTTTCCTTTATAACACAGGCTTTTGACTACAAATCTACCTTTCCCTGTTTTAAATACCCACTAAACCTCAGGCCAGTCCCCCCTTACTCAGCTTCAAGATGTTAGCTCTTTGCACTGTTATCTCTAACATTATTTCTTTCATGATTCATGACTATTTCAATAGCTACACAGATGCATGTTATAGTTCCTCATCTTCTTCTCTTATGTGCTAGTCTTTCTCACTATATACATGTATGTTCTACCCTCCACAGGACAGACACCAGCAACTGCAACTCTTAATTGTTGTTGCACTCCACCTCCTATCTTTTGTATTCCTAGTGCTCCAGGTCAGCAATCTTATGACTCCACTGGACCTTAAATCTCATAGGAATCTCAGTGTCCATCATTCCTTTCACATGTCACTTCCATGACCCTCTCCCACTCACCTTATAGCATTTATCTGACTAAATGTGGTTAAAACTGTGTATTCCTTTCCTGTATCCATGCAGCTGAATGTGGTGGGATAAACCACTTATCTACAATGATTGACATCACTTAAGATTGATATCCACTAAGCTCATATGGGCTCTTAGTGCTTTCAGCAATCATGCTAGATTTCCCTACTCCATTTTTTCTCCTACTCTCCTTTCCTGTTGTAAGACAAATACATTTAGTTGTCATGTCTCCTTAGATGCCCCTTGGCTGTGACAATTTCTCAGACTTTCCTTGTTTTGATGACTTTAGACAGTTTTGAGGAGTACTGATCAGGTGCTATATAATACTAATGAAATGTGTCTTGACATTTTTTCATGGTTATATCAAAATATGGATTTTTGAGGAAAATCACAGAATTAACAGTGCCATTTTCTTTTCTTTTGCAGTACTAGGGACTGAACCCAGAGATGCAGAGTTACAGCCCCAGCCCTTTTTAAAAACTGAGCCAGGGTCTCACTAAAATTGCTGAGGCTGGCCTCCAACTTGCAACCCACCTGCCTCACAGCCCCCCAGATAGCCAGGCCACCATGTCTGGCAACAGTACCATTTTCTCTGCATCATATTTAAGGTATATACTAGCAATATGAATTATTACTGTTGATGTTGACCTTATCACCTGGCCAAGGGCTTGTTAACTTTTTCCACTGTGAAGTTTCATTTCCCTTTCCATACTGTATTCTCTGGAAGTCACTAAGTGCAGTCCATACTTGAGTTATGCTCTACTTCCTGCAAAGTAGAGCATCCACATAAACTTTTAGGATTTGTCTGCAGGGATGATTGATCTGTCTCTTCTCCACATTTATTTATTCAATCATTTATATCAGCATGGACTCACAGATGTTTATTTTAAATTTCAAGTTATAATTCTTTATTACTTTATATTTCTGTTCAAATTCTCCCAGCTTTGGCTACTAGGAGCTCCTTCACTTGCTCCCTATGATACATTTCTCTCAATGTGCCCCCACCTCTTTCTTTGATAGTAGGGATTAAACTCAAATAATACTGCTATGAACACATTTGTGCAAGTTTTTGGTGGACATATGATTTTGTTACTTTTTTTTTTGGCAGTGCTGTGGATTGAACCCAGGCCTTATGCATGCTTGGCACTCTAGCATTGAGCTGTATCTTCTACTCCATGGATATATGCTTTTAATTCTCTTGGATATATACCCAGTAGTGGAATTGCTGGGTCATATGGTAACTCAATATTAACTTCCTGAGGAACTGACAAATTGTTTACAAAGCAGTATAACATTTTACATTGTCATCAGCAATATAAGAGGGTTCCAATCTCTTTTTTCATTTTTATTTTTTGTAGTACTAGGAATTGAACTCAGAAGTGTTCTACCTCAAAGGTGTATCCACAGCCTTTTTGATTTTATTTTGAGACGAGGTTTTGCTAAATTGCCCAGGCTGGCCTCAAAATAGAAATCCTCCTCCCTTAGCCTCCCTAGTCCCTGGGATTATAGACAGATGTGCACCACTGTGCCTGGCCAACAATTCCAATTTTTCCACATTCTCACCAGCACTGATTATTGTCTGACATTAGGTAGAAAAAGGTATCCTCTGGTTTTAATTTATATTTAAATTATATTTCATTAATTAAAATTTAATTAAAATTAAAATAATTTTAATTTATATTTCCTTAATTGGGCCACACATGGTAATTTAAAAGGAGATGGGAGGATGATTGAAATTCTTCACCTCAACTGCTAGAATATTTACTTATTCAAAGTCTACTCTCTTTGAAAATGGGCTTGAACACTGTCAGAGAGTTTTCTCAGAGATGTGGTTCTATTTTCCGCTGTTCTGGACCTTGGTGTACAGAGGCTGAAGTTCAAAGTTGATAACTTGATTTCTATTCTATATCCAGAAATGTATAGGAAAAGTACTAACTAGGGTACTTCATATTCTTACTTATACCATACAGAAACCATACAGCCGACTAATAAATACCTCCAGTCTTAGCTAACATTTTCAGCTCTGTAACTCAGAAGCAGAATGACTTGTAGATACAAAGTAAGGGCAGAGATTAGGTTTTGTCAAGTTTCAATTCTAAATTCTTAACCAATGAACATCACAAGAAGTTTTAACTACACTTTAAGGAAAAGTATTTTCTTACACTAAAGCTGGTGTTAAACTGGTCTTACCCTCAAAGGATTTTCATTGAGGTATGGAGGCTCTCCTTCGACCATCTCAATAGCCATGATACCCAGTGACCATATGTCAACTTTGGGGCCATAAGCTTTCCGTGTAACCACTTCTGGTGCCATCCAATAAGGTGTTCCAACCATGGTACTGCGTTTACTCTGCTCAGGGGTGATCTGGGCACAAAAACCAAAGTCGGCTAAGAAACAAAAAAAAAAAACAACTAGAGTTAATAGCTTCTAGTGATGGTTTTATAAAAGAGTTCACTTCAGATGACACAATTACATTTTGACTGTTCATGCTTTTTTAAATCTTTGTTAAAAAAAGAATAATAAAGTAATCCAGAATGGGATTAAAATACATTGATGATGTTATATACTGCCACTTTTTGCTTTTTGTTCCTACAACAGAGTGTAAATTATTAAGATGGCTTTTATTCTTGATAATAAATTCTATCCTAAAAATTTTAATAAAACTTAAAAAGTCCAAAGGGGAAGAGGGAATCACCAAAGGTGGACACCAAATCTAAATGCAGGCAATCAGGCAAGGGTCAACACTACTTTAGAATAAAATAAAGAGAAGCTAGAATCACTAAGCATATAACTTAGCAGACAGCTTAGAATTGAGTACAATTGTATTGACAAGATACTCACTAGCATTAATCTACTCCAACTATCTCTACTATAACCAAGGAACACAAAACTTACTTTTGTACCTGATGTTAATTTTGTAGAAAGGTCAGGATGAGAATTTATAATCTTTTCTTCCCTTCTACTATTAAAGCCATTCAACTACTTATGTAACTACTGGTATCAGGTATGTAAACTTTAGACTGTTTTATATTTGGATAAGAATGTATAATAGCTATGAATTGCTTGGTTTGTTTTTACTTAACTAGAATATTTTGTTAATTATTTCTGTAAGAAATCCTTCCGTACTGGAATATTTATCTGCCTCATTTTAAAAACCATAATATATTTTACAGTATACAAAAATACCAAATTACCATTCACTTACTGTTTGACACTTAAGATAGTTTTAGTTTTTCTTTACAATGTTGCAGGGAATATCCTTTTATTAATTGTAATGCATATATTTAGTTATTCTATAGGAGTTAGATAAAATAAAATTTATAATGAAAATGAGTGTTTATAAAAGCCAGGTACTGTTCCAAGTACCTTATAAAAATATCTAATTCTCATGATAAAGATTTTTTTTTTTTTTTGTATTTGGTTCAGAGTAATTGACTTTTTTTTTGGACCAGGGCTTAACCACTGAGCCACATCCCTAGCCTTTTTAAAAATTATTTATTTAGAGACAGGGTCTCCCTAAGTTAAGTTGTTAAGTTGCTGAGGCTGGCTTTGAACTTGCAATTATCCTGCCTCAGTCTCTAGAGCCACGGGGATTACAGATGTAGGCTACTGCATCCAGCTTAAATAATTTATTTTTAAATTTATTTATTTTCT